TATACAAAAGCTTCTTAAAGCTGGAAAAAAGGGAACAGCTGCTACAGCTGACCTAAGTCACTCAGAGGAACATTTGTTGCTTTTAGAGAACCATTTTCTGGTTCTTTTCCTTTTAATCCATTCTGGCTCCACGGGTTTGCATAATAAGGTCCGTTTTGTTGTAGACACTAGTAGTTCGCACGCATATCGCAACGAGCGCATGCGTCGTGTACCGGCATGCCTCGGGAACAACTGTGCTCAGTTTCCGCTCTGTAGCTAACCTGTACAGTTCTGTTCTGTGCTTTAAAAATGTTTAAGACTATCAACTCACCCGCCGCATGTGAGGTTTGCTCAGTGATACGGTTTTTGTCAGCAAGGAGCCTGCCTGCTGCAGAAATTCATCGACAGATTTGTGAAGTGTACGGTGATACTGCTATGAATGAAAGCAAAGTGCGTAAGTGGGTACGACAATTCAAAGATGGCCGTGACAACGTCCATTACGAGGACTGCTCCGGTTGCCCTTCTTTGATTTGGTGGCTTTAGTTGAAGCAAGGATTCGTGAAGAGGGTATTTTAAAATTGGTTCAGAGGTATGATAAGTGTTTGAACAAATTTGGCAACTATGTCGAAAAATAGAGTGAAGTGTGTACTTTCTGAAAATAAATTTACTTTTTTGAAATAAACTTCCGTTGTGTACTTATGTTCAAACGGACCTTACTTAAAAAATACCCCTCGTATATGGACTACAGATAACTACAAAATAAATAAATAATCAAAATAAAGATTGAGATATAATGGAGAATGGCAGATAACTGGAAATATTGTTGGACACATATTAACTGTTTTTCTCAAATTAACTGTTTGAGAATCATAATACACACAGATTAAAGAAAGAATTCCACAGAGTGCCAGTCATACTAGTGTACTGCCAGGTACTGACTTCTCCTACTACAAATAAATCCTTCTAATGGTCACAAATGGTTAGTGGCAAAACACTGTACTTGCTGGATAACAAAGGAAGAGGACTATATGAAGTAAAGATTTAGTGCAGCTTCCCAAGGCTTATAAAAATAGTGCAGGAAGGTGGTACATGACCCCAGTAAAACTAAATTGTATGTATAAGAACGTACCAAAAGACTGCTGGAAATGTAACGAACATGATGGGACCTTTTTTCACTTATGGTGGAGCTGTACAGAATCTCAAAAATATTAGAAAAATATCCATGAAGAAATGCAAATAATATTTAATAAAAATTTCCAAGAAAAGCTGAATATTATTTATTGGGAATTGTAGATGAAGATATCAAATTGGACTCGAATGAGGACATTCTGTTTACGTATTTGACAACGGCCGCCAGAATTGTCTTCGCCAAAATCTGGAAGCAGAAAGAAATACCAGAAAAACTCCACTGGATAAACAAAATAATTGAAATAAAGGATATGGATATGCTAACGTTTTTGTTGAAAAAGAATACAGGCAATATAATCAAAGAGACAAATTGGTCAATAATTGATGATTATATTGAAACAAGGCATAAAGAACTATAATTGGACTGAGAACATGGGGATGATATAAAATGGAATATATTATTTTTCATATATAAAGATAAAAAGAAAATTATTTGCACGAGCTGAATCAGAAGGGAGTCCCAATCCCTTTTTTTTTTGTGATAGTCCTTTGGATTTTTGAACTTTTTGATTTTTGATGTACGTTTTCCTCTTTTCTTTTTTCTCTCTCTCTTATTCCTCTTTTTCTATTCACGGGTGTTATGGTTTTTGGCACTTTCCTACTTTTCTATCTTCTTATATTATTCTCCCACTTTCGCTGTAATTACATAAAACTCAATAAAAAAATATATAAAAAAATAGTGCAGGAAGGTGAGAACTTCAAACATAAAATCTGCTAAAGGTTGATGTATTCATTTTTCAGTTACAAGACTAGAAGAAATATTTTTTAAAAGGATGGCATTAAAGACCTACAAAATATGCCTTAAATGTAACATGTTAGGTATTAAATGTTCATTTCGTAAGGCAGAACCCACAAAAAACACGTATGCAATTTGCCAGCAGCTTCTATAAACTGTAAAGTGGATTGAAGGGGAACAATTTGCAGCACATAATGAATGCAGCCTAGCACTTTCCTTATCTATAGTGTGTTTCTTAAAATTTGGTCCCCACACTTCCTGCAGCTGAAATTCTAAACCCATATTTGTGACAGAAACAGACACCTGGGATTGCAGTTAAGAGAAAAGCTTCCAAGGTGCTTGTTAAGTGAATTTCATACGAGTCTATCACACGTTGATGCTTGCAAGTCTAACAAAATCTAAAGGTGTTAGTGTAGTAAAAATAAAAAAGTTTCCAAATGTGTCTGCCCAATCAGACATGAGTTCACAGTGAATCACCAGAGTATTCAAAAGTAATCTTTTTAAGGAACTTCCATGTGCTACAATATTAAGGCACAATCCCTCCTGCAGCAACTAGAGCTCCACAGCCTATCTCTATCGCCCAGCTGTTGCAAAAAGCCCAACAGCTGCAAACATGAGAACTTATCCAAAGACGCACAACACTATGACGCAGAATTTTTTAGTTTACAAAAAAATTATGCCAGACAATTGCTTAAGACCCTTGATGCTAGGACAGAGAAGATGGTGCAGTTGTGATGAGATGGATAAAGAGAAAGGTTAAATCAGAATGAATGGAATGAAGTTTTTTAAAAAAGGTATGTTTCTTTCTTTTTCAATTCTGGGGCAAAATCCTAAGAAACTGACAGAAAGTAGATTCATGAAAGATTGGGGGGAAACCCTACTGCTTCAGCAAGACAGGAGTAATTATGGGATCCATTATAGTAATAGCCATGTACTTATTTGAACATTCATTAAGCAAAATCATGACAGTTAGATGGAAGTATTTAAGAACTGCCTAGCTAAGATAACAAAATATCTCAATTGCAATTGACAGAGAGCCACAAATGGACAAGGACAATTGCTTTCATGTCCTTGCTTGTAGGATCCCTGCAAGCATCTGGATGATGATTGTGGAAAACCAGAGTGCTCAGCTAGATGTAATATTTAAATTAAAGGAATCTGACTTTGCTTCCAAACTGCATGAAAATAGCTCTGGGTCTCTGGAAGCAGTCTGAATATTCAAAAGTGCCTCCGAGTGATGTCAGTTCATCTGAGGGTCAAGCCATTACCTCAGTGAGAAAGCCTTAATTGGAAGTGAGGATGGAGGTCATGTACCAAAAGGACTTCAAAAAGCAGCAGGCCACTTATCTTAACTATAAGATAATTAATGTTGGCTTTCCGCATGGGGCCTTTCTTAAAAAGTCCCATCAAAGCAGCATATTAACCCACAGTTGTAACAATGTAAGATACATATCGTTGTTATGTGACGACTTCATGCTGATTTCAACTTTCAACAGCCTTATCATAGGCGTTTCTTTACTAGATTTCCCCTTATACTCATGGTCAATTTATCCATGGGTCAATGTGAGTGTTATACCTTCACTTTTACTTTTAAAAAGGTACCATCCTCTTCTCTGAATAGAGTGGTGAAAAGCAAGAGCTTTAAAAAAAGCACCAACCCCTCTAGTCTTTCTGTCATGGAACAACTTCTGGTCCTTTTCAACTTCTAAGCAGGGAAACTGTGACGTATGCATGGGATTGATTTATGTACTGATATAAAACATAATGTGAGATTTGGTACTGGCTTCCTTTTAAGGCAGTGGTTCTTAACCTTCCTAATGCCACGACCCCTTAATACAGTTCCTCATGTTGTGGTGACTCCCAACCATAAAATTATTTTCATTGTTACTTCATAAATGTAATTTTGCTCGTGTTATGAATCATAATGTAAATATCCGATATGCAGGATGTATTTTCATTCACTGGACCAAATTTGGCACAAATACCCAATATGCCCAAATTTGAATACTAGTGGGGTTGGGGGGAGGGACTGGTTTTATCATTTGAGAGTTGTACTTGTTGGGATTTATAGTTCATCTACAATCAAAGAGCATTCTGATCTTCACCAATAATGGAACTGAACCAATCTTGGCACACAGGACTCCCACGACCAACAGAAAACGCTAGCAGCGTTTGGTGGGCATGGATCTTGAGTTTGGGAGTTGTAGTTCAACTACATCTGTGGACTCAAACAATGATGGATCAGGACCAAATTTGGCACAAATACGCAGTATGCCCAAATGCAATAGACCTTGGCATTTGGGAGTTGTAGTTGCTGAGATTTATAGTTCACCTACGATCAAAGAGCACTCTGAACCCCACCAACAATAGAATTGGACCTAACTTTCCACATGTAACCCAGATGACCAAGAGAAAATATTGTGTTTTCTGATGGTCTTTGGCGACCCCTCGGACACCTTCTCGCGACCCCCCCCAGGGGTCCTGACCCCCAGGTTGAGAAACACTGTTTTAAGGTGAAAGGATGTGACCTGTTCCAAGACAGCCCAGTGGTCTCTCCTGATTGAACAGAACCCTTATCTCCTGAATTTCAATCCAATGCCCAAGCTCCCACATTATTTCATTTTCTGAAATGTAGTTAGATTTTTTTTAGCAAGATAGGTCTGTACTATCTATTTTGCTGTAGGAAATTTTGGAATATGTTCAACTCTCCAGTAGATGCTCATAAATTTGGCACATATACCACAAGAAATATCTTTCTTTTAGGAAATCAGGGAAGGGAAACATTCAAGTCTGAACTTTGAAAATAAGGAAGGACCATAAAGCATAGACACGCATTATAATAAATATATTAAGAAAGTGAATCCATTTTCCAGGATTGTACACACTGCATACCTCTGATTGATATGTAATATGTTTCTCTAAAATAATCACTGACCTTTGTTGTTGTTTTGCCAAGTAATCTACATTTCTGTTACCAGTTTTCATCCACAAAATCAAATGACTGTTTCACAAAATAGGATGTGCTGTTTCCAGAATAAACTACCAGTTCAGATTTGAAAACACTTTTTTATGAAGTACTTTTTAGTCAGCTACTTACTTCAGATCCTGCAGAAGATCTTTTGCATTAAGCATAGTTATTAAAGAGGTGGTAGCTGCTGGAATAATGATTATGGGTGTTCGAGATCCTGTAGAGAGAGATTTCTTTTAGAAAATTTAATTTTAACAACAATACAGTTATCACTATCATTCCTTACCTGGTGCTCTCTTTCTCTCTCTTTCTTTTCTCTCTCTTCCCTCCTCTTTCTCATACACACAATTATGAAAGTTTGTAAAACTATCTATAACTTTACACTTAAGACACACTGTTTCTTGTTATAAATGGGTCAACGAAGTTTGGATCAACTCACCCTTTTTCTGGTTTGGAGGTGGTCTTGCTTGGGAGACTGTGAGGAAGAAAATATGTCACAAAGTGAGCCATCTATAAAAAGAATATGTTTCTCAATGAAATGGTTCAACTTCTTTTAGAGTAAATTCTCACAATTAACTGGTCTGGAGTAACAATCTCAGTCCAGTTCCAGTTTGTATATTGGCTAAGAAATAAAATGACATGATTTGGTTGACTTTTTTTTTTTAAATGACTAGATCATCTTGCTCATTGTTAGCCTCCAAATTGCAAAAAAAATCATGTTAGCTTATTTTTCACAAGAAGATCCATTCGGGGGGAGAGAACAAGTTATAAATAAAGTTTTATTATTACAAAACATTTACAGGGCCTGTACATCCACTGGAAATTAAAATGCATAGGAAAGCCCACCATCCCAAGAGTTAATTTACCCAGGAATAGCAACAAGAAAATAGTAATAAAACCATGGGCACAGCTTAGTTGAAACTCATATCTCCACATTCTTCTTGCCTAAGAATTTAGCCATCTCTTTACTACTCTGCTGTGCTAACATCAGTGTAGAAGAAGTTTTCTCCCACTGCTTTTTTCAATATCTCGTTCGCATGACAGTGCAGATTCTCCTGCTGTTGCCCCATCTCACAAGGAGAGGCCAGCAACCGCAGATATACATGCTGCTTGCCTGAAGATCAATATGATTCTACAGTGAAAGCATAAAGCAACAGGAACAAATCATTCAGCGTTGTCTCAGGGTCATGAGGACTTCAGAAGAATTAAAGCAGCACACTATGATACTCCAAGCTGCAGGGGAAATGTTCACCAAAGCCATCATGTTTTAAGAAATGATGAAACAACGTACTTAAGTAACCGAGTGCTTCTTTCAGGACTGCACATGCACCAACTTCAAGTTGTACAATGCGAAAGTCTACTGATATTATTATGTATTGGCTGAAGCTGTACAATGCGTAACTCTACTGACATCATTTTCTATGATAGCCAAATATACAATTTAAAATTTACACAGTGATCATGATGCCCATAGAGGTCATACTGTGTTTTATATATTATAAATAAATAGCAATAAAAAAGAAATTAAACCATGTTCATAGAGAAATGTTGAGAGAATGCTGCATGACACATTGCTCATTGCTTTATACAGTGCAATACGGAAGCTCAGTCATGATATGGGGCAGCTTTTGTACTGATGAAGGCCTGTATAGGCCTTTCAGTTAATGTGTGTGAAATCGCATCTGGCAGTGTGACCCCATGTGTGACAATTCATCCAGATGTATTTCTGCTCTTGCTATTTCTACCCTTTTCATATCATTGCCTGTCAGCTCCAAACACATTCTTATTCTCAACAGCCCTGGTGAGATAAATATGACAGGCAGTGTGACCTTTCTAAGCACAGGCATACAGCCGCAGAGATAAGAGAACCAGTAAAGAATCACAACGCGATGCAACTCTAAATACATTAGAATTCTATCTTCAGAGATATTTTAGATAAATCTTATTTTTTATATATATATATATATAAATTATTTTTCCACTGGATAAAAATAAATAGGATAAAATAATTTATGAAGAGCCGTTGAAAAAGTGCCTTTTTATAATCACCATGAAAAATCGTTTCTCTTAATAGTTGAATCAGGAGAAGCTGCAGGGTATATTTCTTGCTGGAAAGGCACTGAGAGCTATTATGATAAAGATGCCATTCAAACTGACCTAACTTAACTAAGTAAATTTTACTTACTTCCAATGTCTCTGTATTATATTGTTATTTAGCATCTATTAAACAGAATTATCCCTTAGAATCACAGAATCAAAGAGTTGAAAGAGACCTCATGGGCCATCCAGTCCAACCCCCTGCCAAGAAGCAGGAATATTGCATTCAAATCACCCCTGACAGATGGCCACCCAGCCTCTCTTTAAAAGCTTCCAAAGAAGGAGCCTCCACCACACTCCGGGGCAGAGAGTTCCACTGCTGAACGGCTCTCACAGTCAGGAAGTTCTTCCTCATGTTCAGATGGAATCTCCTCTCTTGTAGTTTGAAGCCATTGTTTCGCTTCCTAGTCTCCAAGGAAGCATAAAACAAGCTTGCTCCCTCCTCCCTGTGGCTTCCTCTCACATATTTATACATGGCTATCATATCTCTTCTCAGCCTTCTCTTCTTCAGGCTAAACATGTCCAGCTCCTTAAGCCGTTCCTCATAGGGCTTGTTCTCTAGACCCTTGATTATTGTAGTCGCCCTCCTCTGGACACATTCCAGCTTGTCAATATCTCTCTTGAATTGTGGTGCCCTGGTGTGGTCGCTATTTAGCACTGAAATTGATGCATGCCCACTAGAACTTTTATGGCATCTATTCTTGACATGATCAGTTCAAGAAATAGTGGGCCTTGTTACTTAGCATATATTGAACACCTCTTGAAATCTGAGATACTGAGCACCCACTCTCTTCTGAATGCAAATACTATGAACAGAAACTCTAGGAACAAATGTGCAGGACATGTCAACACTAAATAAGTTGGAGCAATTGGATTGTCAAGCATTTCCCCATGGAATATGGGGAATATCTGTGGAACTCATTGCCTCCATACATTAGAGCAATGTTGGAGTTGCGACCTTTTGTAAAGGCACTCAAGACAGCTGTTTGGTTGTGCATTTAAGTAATCCTATCTAATTTTCCAAATAGTCACTGTTGAATGTTTTTATGTTGAATGTTTTTATACTGTGTAAATGCTATTTTAGACTGTAAGTCGCTCGGAGCACCTTGGTGGAGAGCGACTAATTAAGAAATAAAGTGAAGTGAAGAAGTAAAGTGAAGAATACTGTATTCTGGCAATGGTAGTGAGATGACTCAGAGATTCCTAACTCCCTTTGCAAGAAGTACAGCTACTCAGTTTGTCTACTCATACAATCATTATATCAAACTATTATTGTTTCGGTGAGAAGTTTATCCACATCCCCTTGATTTTAGATAAGAATTATTTGATAACTACAAACTGGGGTCACAATACTTTCCATAAATCAAGCATATAAAAATCAGAAGCGCAGCCGAAGCCTAGTTACACATTTTAATATAAGGCCTAAAAATAAAATAAAAAGAACGACTAACAATCATACACATAATTCATAAAATAGCTATACCTGGCCTTGGTACAGGTTGTGCTGCTGGAGTTTGAGTCTTCCGTGCTGAAGCTCCCTCCTTAAAAATGAAAAAAGAAAAGAAGACATAGAATCAAGCCTTTAATAGAGCATAAATCACATTTATGTACTTATAAACACAGACCTGGTAAATAAGAGCACAGCTACAGTTATTAGTAATTTTTTAAACAGATATCTATCTATCTATCTATCTATCTATCTATCTATCTATCTATCTATCTATCATCCATCTATCTATCTATCTATCTATCTATCTATCTATCTATCTATATATATATATATAAAAAAATAAATGCTCTGGTCATAATGAGTACCTTAAAAACAAAAGAACCAATGAACGAAATCACACCAAATTTGGCAACAAAACGTCTTACAACAAAAGGAGTGACCATCACTTAAAAAATTATGATTTTTTTTCATTTGGGAGTTGTAGTTGCTGGGATTTATAGTTCACCTACAGTCAAAGAGCATTCTGAACTCCACCAACAATGGAATTGAACCAAACTTGGTACACAGAACTCTCATGACCAAAAGATAATACTGAAGGGGGTTTGGTGGGCATTGACCTTCACTTTTGGAATTGTAGTTCACCTCCATCCAGAGAACACTGTGGACTCAAACAATGATGGATCTGGACCAAACTTGTTAGAAATACTCAATATGCCCAAATGTGAACACAGATGGAGTTTGGGGGAAATAGACCTTGGCATTTAGGAGTTGTTGTTACAAGGATCTATAGTTCACCTACAATAAAAGAGCATTCTGAACCCCACCAACAATGGAATTGGGCCAAACATCTCACACAGAACCCCCATGACCAACAGAAAATACTGTGTTTTCTGGTGGTCTTGGGTGACCCTTCTGACACCCCCCGGTTAACCGCCCCCCCCCCCCCGGGGTCTTGACTTCCCAGGTTGAGAAATGCTGCCTTAAGGCCATCCAGTCCAACTCCTTTCACCAGGGCAAGAAAATATAATCAAAGCCCCACCTGACAAAGGGCCATTCAGCCATTCACACACACACACACATATATGTATATGACAGATGCAAAGATTTGAAAGGGACCCCTAAAGAAGGACAATGATATGTTGCATGTTGCAGAGTAGGCAAACCAGACAATCTCCACATCAACACTGACAAAGAAACAAGAAGAAATACTGTTTACCCACAAACATAAAGACATTGCATATATTAGAAACCAATGCTTTCTCATTACTTTATTGTCCAGCTCACCAGACTGGGCCACAGCAACGCGTGGCAGGGGACTGCTAGTATATATATAGACCAGAAGAGTAATTCTGGCTTCCAAATCTTTCTTGCAGCACCATATTTAGATACTTTGATGAAAGGAAACATTTCTCTATACCAAGGCTTGTCAAACTAATGTCCTCCCGAATTCCACAGGAGTTCTGGGCCCCTAACCCAGCAAAAGTGGAGTTAATGGAAACCTACAGTTTCATTAAACTGAATGTGGACAATGCCTCTTATGAAAGCCTGCAATTCCCTGTAACGAAAAATCACGAAGGAAAACATATTTGGTGTCCATAGTACAGCACACGAGTTCCTATAATTACATTATCATTTGAAACTTAGTGCCAGGAACAATCAAATAATCAGAGGTTATTGAATCCAACAGATGTGATTCGGTATCACATCAGAAATGTGTATTTTTATTTGCCAGTAAGTTCTACTTTGTGGAATTTGTTCTTAAGTTCGGATGTATAGAAATGAACCCTAGCCTTCAGTTAAGAGATTCTGTTAAGCATTTGTTCATCTTTCGTTATAAACACAAAATATCTACAATATAACATGCATGCAGGCTGGACAGCCAAATGTTCCAAATACCAATTGCAAGAGAATAACACAAGGCACTCCCTCCATATTCTATTTGTGAGTTTCACATGGCCATCTATATCTATAAAAATGCTCTGTGCATAATGAGTACCTTAAAAACAAAAGAACCAATGAATGAAATCCCACGAAATTTGGCAACAAAACGTCTCACAACACAAGGAGTGACCATCACTCAAAAAATTATGATTTTTTCATTTCAGAGTTGTAGTTGCTGGGATTTATAGTTCACCTACAATACAATAGCATTCTAAACTCCACAAACTTTGGAATTGAACCAAACATGGCACACAGTACTCCCATGACCAACAGAAAATACTGGAAGGGTTTGATGGGCATTGACCTTGAGTTTGGGAGTTGTAGTTCACCTACATCCAGAGAGCACTGTGGACTCAAACAATGATGGATCTGGACCAAACTTGGCACGAATATTCCATATGTCCAAATATGAATAAAGATGGAGTTTGGGGGAAATAGACCCTGACATTTGGGAGTTGTAGTTACTGGGATTTATAGTTCATCTACAATCAAAGAGCATTCTGAACCACACCAAAGAGAGAATTGGGCCAAACTTCCCACAGAGAACGCCCATGACCAACAGAAATGCTGCCTTAAGGCCATCCAGTCCGACTCCCTTCACCAGGGCAAGAAAACGTAATCAAAGACCTCCTGACAAAGAGCCATCCAGCCATAGATATAGATAGATATATATTATTCACACACACAGAGAGATACAGTATCATAGAATTGAAAGGGATTCCTAAAGAAGGACAATGATATGTTGTATGTTCCAGAGTAGGCAAACCACATCAACAATGACAAAGAAACAACAAGTACTGTTTACCTACAAGTATAAATAAATTACATATATTAGAAACCAACACTTTCTCATTACTTTATTTTCCAGATCACCAGACTGGGCCACAGCAACGCGTGGCAGGGGACAGCTAGTCTATTTTAAAAGTAGAATGCTAGATTGGATAATCTTTGGTCTGAGTCAACCCTATTTTCTTTGTGCTGGCTTCATAGGTAAAATGAACAAAAACACCCTTCTCCTTCAATTATAAAATGCAGAGCAGTCACTTATTACTGTAAAGGAATATGCACTGTCCCTGTATTCATTCAAATGAAGTGTTGCCGTTGTCAAGGGGAGTATCTGTGTACAAGCAGCGAATAGCTTGCCAAGCATAACAATAATCTTTTAACACGCAGGAGTCAAGTAGATTATTTTAAAATTAGTTAGGGGGAAATGTACCATTTTGATGACACAAAAATTAGATGTTAATAGGCGCATACACGGTTGACATTAAATCAGTGTCTAGCAGCAGCAGAAAAGTAAGCAAACATGGCATTTTTCCTAAGCAAAGATTATCCATGCACATCATCATCACCTGTGAAAACCATGCAACCATCTATATCATTATGATTATGCATATTTGAAAACATTACAGAAGAATGTTCCCAAATGAGCACAGCTATGACAAGTGAGTGGGAAGGTTACACAGCACAAAAATCATCTCTGTTTAGTAAATATCATTTGTAAAAGGACCCTTAGATTACAACACACATCCCTACAAAAACCAAACACAAAAATCATCAAATGTCACCAAATTATCTCACCATTTTTTGATAAAGAAATTAATTCAGCCTGACTATCTCATATAACTTGTTGCACAATTTCTATTCCTTCTAACATAGCCTGCATGGAAGTAGGAGCAGATGGCAAAATCCACTGAGGTGAACAAAAGTTGAACAGCAGTATTGTCTAGCAGACGGCATTAAATAACAACATACTCACACACACACACACACAAAACCCCAACAATATGTACAATTACACATTTTCCCCTAGCAATTAGGTCACTGGGCTAAACATGATGTCAATTTTAACTACAGCAGGCCGATGAAAACAACCTTGGATGTTACCAAAGTGTCTTATTCATGTCTGTGGTCTATTCTAAATAGCATGATCACTGGATTTAGATGTAAAACAATCCCTTCTGAACAATACATACCATATATACTCAATCTCATATATTAGACGAGGGCAGTTTTTAGGTCCAAACAATGGATTTTGGCATGACCTAAGGATAAGTCAAGGGTCATTCCATGAAGAGTGGGAGCACCAATGCCACTAATGCCAATGTCCCTGGCTGCCACATTTTCCCTGACCAGGCAATTTAAATAGCAGGAAACTACACTATAGCAGAGAGAAATAACAACAACAACAACAACAATAATCTTTATCTATATCCTGCTCCATCTCCCCCAGGGTGACTCGGGGTGTTGGTACTTTTGAGGGTGTTGGTACTTTTTAAAGGTTCTCCTGTGATGGACTAAGCTCTTGCCTTTCATCACTCTACTCAGCAAAGGGGATGGTTCCCTTTTTGATAAGATTTTATTTATTTATTTGTCATGTCAGGGCAACCAGTCAATAATATTACATTTCTAACAGAACAAAGCAAACAAACAGACAAAATACAAAATTTGCGAGTTTGGTAGTTGATTAAATGTCCTTTGACCAGTATCTTGCCACTTGGAGTGCTTCTGGTGTTGATGCAAGAAGGTCCTCCACTGTGCATGTGGCAGGGCTCAGGCTGCATTGCAGCAGGTGGTCAGTGGTTTGCTCCTCTCCACACTTGCATGTCGAGGATTCCACTTTGTAGCCCCATTTCTGAAGGTTGGCTCTGCATCTCATGGTGCCAGAGCGCAGTCTGTTCAGCGCCTTCCAAGTCGCCCAGTCCTCTGTGTGCCCAAGGGGGGAGTTTCTCATTTGGTATCAGCCATTGGTTGAGGTTCTGGGTTTGAGCCTGCCACTTTTGGACTCTCGCTTGCTGAGGTGTTCCAGCAAGTGTCTCTGTAGATCTTAGAAAACTATTTCTAGATTTAAGTCGTTGACGTGCTGGCTGATACCCAAACAGGGGATGGGCTGGAGATGTCTCTGCCTTGGTCCTTTCACTATTGGCTGCTACTTCCCGGCGGATGTCAGGTGGTGCAATATTGGTTAAGCAGTGTAATTTTTCCAGTGGTGTAGGGCGCAGACACCCCGTGATAATGCGGCATGTCTCATTAAGAGCCACATCCACTGTTTTAGTGTGGTGAGATGTGTTCTTTTGATAAGATATGAAATACAGTACTCAGGCTAACCCATGACTAAATTAACCCAAGTTTTGTGGTTGATTTTTGACT